CTAGATTTAAATCAGCACAGCCAGCGAAGGATCGAACGCAACTGTTTTGAACGAGCGCACCTTTTTTTTAACAACCAAAAAGTGGCTGTTCCCTCTGTTGAGGAACAACAGACGTTCCTCTCGTTGATAGCAGAGGAGCGGATCCAGCGAGAGCTTGATGGGGCGCAACTATAGTTTTTTTAGGAGTCGTGGTAGTAGAGGCGGCGCAACTATAACGACATGTGAATAATCCCGCCCACTCTAAAGCGGTACTGAACTGCAGTGGAAACGCAAACCGTGCCGTGCCGTACTGAGCCGTGCCGAGCCGAGTCGTACCACGCAGTGGAAAACTGATCGGTTTCTGTTCAAAAACAACAAGGGCGCTTGTCGGCTTCTGAAGAAACATGAACTCGCAATGCCTTGAAAGTGGACAAAACCGGCTTTTTTGACAAAATGTGTTTAGGGTTCAGATCGCGCTATATGTGGAGAATAATGCACGGCAATAATTTTTTTTAAGTGGGTTTATCGGTTTTTGCAAATGAATTCTTCATTTACTGTAAAGAAAATGCACTGTACAATTATTCTTTTATTTTATATAAAATAAATATTTTTCAGAAGAGGTTTTACTCTAAAACTGCTATAAAATTAAAGCCTTATGTCTAAACAAGTTATGTTCCAAATTTGAAGTTGATATAAAAAAAAAATAATAGGTTCCTGTGAGATTTTATTTAGGGCGTTATACCAGAAATAGCCACTGGGTGACACCCAAACTCCATTGAAATTTTTTTTGATGCATTTTTCTGTCACAAATGTCTACATTTTTCCGTCAATATTACTTCTGTAATATATTACATATACCCAAATATGGAATCTTGAGACTCAGACCTTTCCAACCATATGTAGTTTGTCAAGATTATAAAAAGTTTTGATTGTAAAATACCGTAATACATTTTGTAATATGACACTTGACACCGCCCACTTAGGGGGAGGAGACCGCTAAAAGATTTTAAAGTACCATTTCCATGGTAACCCAATGTCCGATTTCAAAATGGTTTTCACATAATGCATTTTGAGTTTTTACGCTTTCAAACGATATCTAATTTACGGTGATTACTAAGATTTTTGATAGAGTAAAAAGGCAATAAAATATGTAATGGCTTTGGTCATTTTGATGACGCTATCAATATTACTTACGCTATTACGCTTCTATTTTATATTTTTACATTAACAATGTAATCAATATTCTATTTATTAAAGCCAAATATGAATCTCATCAAGTTAATGTTTTTAAGCATTTTACATTTATTCCAAAATAATAACTCAAGGCAGTTAACAATTTAAACAATATATTTTATTTGTGAACTTATGTTCAGCTATTCTTTTTAATAGTTAACTTTTAACTATTTTGGAATTTTCCGGATCATCAGTCATCAAAGCTTTGCCATTTTGGACTTTCTGCGTGAGAGGCAGGTAGGTAGGAATCTTCTTGTTTTAGGGAAGTTCATGTTTCATTAAACATCCGTAAATAGCCTTGACATCTTAATATATTATAATATAACATTTTACTTAGCTAGTTTTAGATTAAAGTTTTTGTCTTCTGTGTAACTTTCCCGGTAGCCTATATATTTTTGTAATAAAAATAAGCTTCTGTTTCATAAACTTCGTATAACAGCTTAACATTATTTACATTAGCATATTGGGGTCTTTGCTATTATATTCCAATATCATTCTGCCTCAATTAGCTAGTTATAGATTAAGAGTTGTTGTTTTAGATGTACAGATGGCTTGCTGCTTTGTTTAATAATTTAAGTTGTTAGAATAACATTCTGCTGGTTTATTTAGCTACTTTTCAGTACACCACATTAATTATGCCACTTAGTACTGTAAGACTTTGAATGTTAAAGTGCAAATTAACACCTGACCACTCTTGTGGGTTTGCTTAATGTTACGATTAAAAATCATAGAAGGGTAAATACATGCCAGGCAGACATTTGTATGATGTAAGCAACACGGCTACAACAAATAAAATGAATAAAGTGTGTGTAAGATTTATTGTATGCAAATAATCAAGCATTATTATGACAATAACCAGTTGTATTGGCGGCACCGAGCGACCCCCAAATAAAATTCTGCTTAGGGCCCCATAAAGGCTTGGGCCGACCTGTCAAAGTTTTCCTGTGTCCTGTACAGAGCACATTCAGGGCTTTTCAGAGATATCAAATATTTGGAAGTTTCTCCATGTTCACTCCCTCTGCTTGGTCTTTAAAAATGGCTGACATTAATTTAGTGATAAAATTGTACATCCTTATGGAAATATGATAATATTTTGCAATTATCAATTAAATCTGATTAATCTTCAAATTGTTTGTCATAAATTAACGTCTCAGGAAAATTTTATGGGGTTTCAAAACAAAATATGACTTCCTGTTATGAAACAGGATATTGATTTCATACATGTCCACTGTAGAGGAAACCAGGACTAAAAGCATGTTTATTATGCATTTTGGGAGATACATCAAATTAATAGGAAAATAAATTATATATCAATATTTTTATGAAATATTAGATATTGAGCGTTTTGCATAAAGTGGAAAAATTGCATAAAGTAAAATGGTATATCACATCATTTTGTTATATCTTTTATAACATAGTTGAGAATCATCCTTATACAAAGTTTGGTATAAAAAAAATCCATAAACCTAAAAATTGATTGGTGATTTTTTTTTAAATCCCATTGTTTTTGCCTTTTCATGTCTATTCATGTCATTTTATTTTTTAGAAAAACTGAGTCCTGGTGTCCTCTACAGAGGACATAGCATAACATATGAATAAAATATATTTTTTCAAAAATGTTATTTTTCCATTTTTTAGCTTATGCTCTAAGCAATGTAACGACATGAAAAAAAACTAAATTCACAAAGCTTTTTTTTCTTCTGGTTCTCAGGAGGATATATATATAAACCATCCATATCCTAATCTATCCTAATAGCACTCGGCTTGTCTAATAACCATGTTTCTTGATGTAAACCTGTTTTGTACAGTTCAATCGGCGCATCAGTTTCTACGCAGCACGACATCAGGCTGTCATTCGAGTGCGCTCATATAACGTCCATGCGTTCCCGTGTGAACTTTTAATGAGTGTCATAACGCTGTTTGCATCGCATCAGTTTCTACGCAGCACGACATCAGGCTGTCATTCGAGTGTGCTCATATAACGTCCATGCGTTCCCGTGTGAACTTTTAATGAGTGTCATAACGCTGTTTGCATACCCAATTCACCTGTGTGATGGAGTTAAAGCTAAACAGTGACAACAGAGCCTACTATGGTCACAGAATTTGGTGTAACACTGGAGGTAGTTCCAGTTTTTTAGGGGACACTGTTCTCTCATTTTTATTTACACACTTTTGCCATCAAACTGTTGTATAAATGCAATTTTACACTCGTAGCTGTGCGATATGGCTGTATATCAGCACGCTGTGATTACCTACGACACTTGGTCTGCTGAGTCATGTCAAGAAACCAAAACTCCATCTGTGACAGATATGGAGAAACCAGGCTCAGTCGGGGGGCCAGTTCTCCTCTGGACAGATGAAACCAGCATGGTGTGTTTTAATTCCAGGCAGCAACACAAGTCAGATTGAGCAGAGGACTTGTCTGGTTCTCATGGTCTTGTGCCGATGGCCGACGAGGTCTTCACAGGGGATCTGTCTCTGGTTCATCTAGTTGACATGGTCTCTGCTGATGACCTCTAGGTGCTGATCCACCATCTGGACTGGATAAGGAGGGCCTTGTGCCTACGGCCGTATCACAGCCGTGCTGATATACAGCCATATCGCACTGCTACTCATATGATATTGCTCATACTGAGCGCACACACACAGACGCATGTGCAGAAAGATGGCTCTTTCATGTCAACTGTCTAATACACACAAGGTTATGTCAAAAACATAAAGTTCACAAAAACATAGTTGGTTATGTTTGTAAACGTAAACAACTGCATGTGTATCAGTATGTTAAATCTGTGAAACGATGTCTCTTGGACATGGCGACTATACACTACTAACACAACTCAATCAGGCCTCACCCCCTTTTATTTATTTACTTATGCCTTGGGTGGTAATTATTTAAATTAGGGATACTGTGACATATGTTCCCAGAAACTATAATTGAGGCCTTTGAGGGGGAGTTCAGAAACAGTGCTTACTGATTAAAAAGCAACTCCCTTTGGAGTAGACTTTCTAATTTTGCAGGTCTTTTTCATGCACAAACAGCAACACTACACACTAAAAGAAGCTAAAAATGTAAAAAAAACAAAAAAACAATGGGACCTTTTTAATGTTCAGTGGATATGCTGAATAAAGTGTTTATATGGCCCAAAAGCAGGTCTTTTTCATGCACAAACAGCAACACTACACACTAAAAGAAGCTAAAAATTTAAAAAAAATAAAATAAAATAATGGGACCTTTTTAATGTTCAGTGGATATGCTGAATAAAGTGTTTATATGGCCCAAACTTCAGATTAAAACAGGTATATTCCAGCTGTTTTAATAAAGTTTTTTTTAATTATTATTATTATTAAAAAAAAACAACCCAACCAACCCAAAACATTTGAATGCTGTTATATATACTGTATATGTAATCAGAATACGACCAAATTCTGATTTATATCATCATCCACAGCTGAGATATTGTGACGGGCTTAAGTGAATTTGTGCTGAATCATTTCTAGGTTTGTCTGAGAAAAAAAAAAACTGTTGCAACCTGATATGCACAGACGTTCTCTCTCTCTCATGCACAGACACTCTCAGGTTCTCTGAATCAGTTCTCAGTCATTTCCAGTTCCAGTAACTGTCAGAGTCACATCAGTCACACTACACTGCCCTATGACTACCCGTCCTGGTGCTGTTGTGCCGTGGAGAACAAATTCACCATTTTCCTGTTTGAAGGGACATATTACAGATATTGCAGTCATAAAAGTTGGATCCTCTTGCTGCTTATATTTTTTGTTTGAGGCTAGGTCAGTGATTGATTTCTGCAGGTTATACAGTAAAGAGGCTCTCAGCTGCTGTTTTGTATCAATGAGCCTGTATGTCATCACAGCCACCGTTACGGCCCGTATAGTGACAGCCATCAGATTAGCCAGTCGCAGCGAGATCTGACCGGCACTTTACGTCATCCTGCAGTGAAAATGCAGTGGAAATCTCTTCTGAATTCATCAGTAAAGACCAATAGGTAAAAAATTACAGAATACAAATGGAAAACGTGGATTTTGAAATGAGCTTTTCAGCTATAATACTCGAAACTTAACTGGAAAAAGATGTCTAAGTGAATAATAAAATAATTACAGGTGTACAAACCATATCACAGTGCAGCAAAGGTGTTTATCAGCCAAATGTCTGGAAGAGGGCATTCCATTTGTGCAGATGATCATATAAGTGTATTTTTTGTTCCCATTATGATTTGTGTGGTGGACCAAGTGTGACCAAGAGCAACACCACAGTGGAATCTGCTTCTATTGACATGTAGGCAAGCCTCAGGCCTATTTTTAAACACGTTTTCAAAGCACAAGCTCTCAGGTTGCTTTTCCTTAGCCTGGTCAGTCAACCCTGAAAACCGCTGGGTTTGTTTCAAGACACATCAACACCAGGAAATAAAGAGAAGCCAACACATACTGGAATCTGTTGATCAAGCTTGATTAACCGTCACTGGTTGAAGCTTAAATTCATGGGCCCCATAAATCCAGCTCTGTCAGATGGACTTCAAGGTCATCCTGATTTTTACTTTCATTCTTTGCCACTCACAAACACACACATACAGCTCCCTTGGTACTCATTTTTAGTTAATCATTCAGGTACAACAAGACAAGGCCAATGACATAGATTTCTTATATCAGAGACAGCAAGCAAGATGTTCTTACCTCAGACCTGCTCTTCAGACTGCTCCTCTTTGGTCTGAAAAGGACATCTTTGAAGTCCAGTTTGAGGTCAGCATACACCCGGGGCATAGTGACAGGCCTGAGAGCGGATGAAAATCTCCGAGCCGGGCTGGTCCAGAGCTCCAGGCACCAAACCCGAACCGGCAGAAAAACAGCGTATTTATAGAGTAGAAAGGGCCATCACTGCCCAGGCCCCCATGGCTTTATTTGGCAAGGCCTGTACGCTCTCTCCTTCCCTCTCTCTCTACTCCCCCCTCCGCTTGCATTCAGTCTGGAGTGGCAACAGCAGCAGTAGCAGTGATAAAAGCTGTCTGACGCATATAAACACACACACACAAGCGCAGTGACTGCAGCTCTTCACTGCAGTATGTGCACAGAGCTCCTGCTGTCCAGCTGGGGTATTGCTCCTCTGAATCAATGAGTGATTTCATGGGAAATGAGAGGGAGGGACATGAAGATACAGTGTCTTACTTATCCTTCCCTTTTTAATGTTGTCTAATACAGAAATCATGGGTTTGAAAAAGTATAATGATTGCTGCTAGTGTTGTGTTTTCAAATGCACAGCACTTACAGACATGGAGTTTAAGTGGAGCAGTATTTACTCTGAAATGAGCCACTTCACTCTAAAACACAATGCATCAGAGTATATATAATTAAATAAAAGAGACACACCAACAGTTTCATATACTCTCCATCACTGATTGTTACTCTCATTTGGTGATTGACTGAGATGCTAAGGGCTTTCCGCACACAACTGCTAGGTTGGGAGTAATCCATGCATACAGATGCATGAATGCTTTTGTAAAAACACAGCATTTCACAGTTTGTTTAGTAACTGTTTAAGGCTATTCACACAGGTCATACTTTTCAAGTAGGAAAATACGGGGGGGAAATCACATCCCTGAGAATCTCATTAAAATCTACAAAATGGTTTTAAAGGCTTTAGGCCACCGCATGCAGCTTAAGGGTCCAGGCTTCAGCGGGTGAGAAAGGCAGATCAGGCAGCAGAACAATCAGTCCTGATGTCTGCAGAGGAGCCCATTTCAGAGGCTCAGGGTTCCCCAACAAAGTCACCTGAACAGAGATGCAAAATATTTACAGATATTTCATTGATATCTTACCCCCAAAAAAAAACAAACATTTTATTTCTAAATTTTGATGAATTGATAAATATTTACCACTGTGTTGTGAGAGGTTTTAGGCGTTAAAAGCTTAAAGGAGTTCTGCATGGGATTGGAGGTCAAGATCGCATACACAGTGCTGCTTTTTGACGTATACCTGAAAATTAAGGAAAATTTATGAAGCATTCAAGCATTAAACTCAAATTAATGAAGCATTCACAGCTTTAATATAACTACACCACATGCTAACTAGGACTAAACTAAGGCTGCAGAAACAGAGAAGGAACCAAAACTACTGCTGACTCAGCTCACAAGAACCCAAGCTGCTTATAAACAGATCGAGAAGTATTCAAATCATTAATGACAATCAAACGATCATATGATTTATTAACATGTCACAATTTCAGGGTAAAAGTTTGCATTCAGTCTAGATTCAGTGAGAATAAGTACCCAGAAGTCTCAGCAGAGTTTTTGGAAAGGCTGGTACAGTGAATGGGCTCTTATGATTGGCCTTACGTCCTCATTTTAAACAGTGGTCTGTGAATCCTAAACTATAATTTTCTTACATGGCTCCTGTTATACTCATCATGGACTCTAGGTGACACTATTTCACTGCAACCACAACATGAGTATCTGAAAGTTTTTCAAAGGAACTGTAAGGCACAGACAGATAAGAGGAAGTTTAAAAACTTCAACACACCAGACAGGAACAGTAGCATTCTCAGCCTGGACTCTCCAAGGCTTAGTTGAATAGATGGCTTCACCATTGACCTTCAGCCAGGCTCCAATCCCACGGAGACGTTCCTCAAAGACAGGTGCAATCATGCCATCTGCTGTAGGCCCTACATTCAACAGGTAATTACCCCCTAATGCCACGACGTAGACCATGTCCTGTGGTCACAATATATGAGAGTCATTAGGCACCATATGAACTTGCATAAGCTTTTGTGTCCATATGTTTTATTCATATAAATATATAATACATTTACAACACAAGAATCTAGTAATATAATCTAAGGCAAGATCTTCTGTCTATTAGTAACACATCACACCTTTATAATGGATGGTAGATCCATCAGTTCGCTTAGCTTCATATTTCGGCGATATCCCCATGATATCGTGTCCACTGACTGGCATTTCTCCCACTTGTGGTTGGGCAGCTGTCCAGGAGTGAACTTGTCTGCACAGTTATAATAACCTCCATGTTTACAATAACAGCCCAAACCCCATCTGTCATTAGTCACCACTACATCCTGTAAGGAGTGAAATAATGCAGTCATTATGATCTGAATTACAGTTTGAGACACAGTTTTAAAATAAGAACATTATGCATGATCTCACTTTGACCGGACTGTCATTGTAGAGCCAGGCTAGGAATCCTGTAGAGTTCCAATAAGTGTCAGGTGCTTCCCAGTCCCCATCTGACCAAATCAAGTCCGGCTTGTACCTGAATCATCAAAAACATCACCAGTTAACTTTCATAAATGTCACACCATATATGTAGACTGTAAAGGTTGATCTTTACACAGTCACGGACAAATAAAACACGCAGTCAAGCTTATGTCATAAACAACTGCACTTCATTCTCCAGCCTGTATCATCACATGACTGATGCAAATGTACCTGTTGACCAGATCGTAGAGCTCTGGCATGGCTTTTTTTTCAACAAACTCCTGGGTCTTGAAACCAGATTGCTTGTCACTCAGGTAGATGGGATTGAACCATTCATACAGAGAGTGGTAGAGTCCATAATGCAGAGACCTAATAAAAGAAATTCAAAATTGTTGCATAAAATTCAGGAAATAGATTATGCAAAGCCTTACTGAGATTGCCTTTTTTTTTTAACTTGAATGACTTTGTGTCATCTGCTTCCACTTATTTTAGCTGTACAAAAACTGTTACACTGCTTGATGTTGCAAATTGGTATTTGTTATCATATTATTTTATTTTAGTATTGTAAAAAAAAAATTGCCGTTTTTACTGCACTTTGTTATTCTAGTTATTTACCTATAGACTGCAACAAAAACCCTTTTAAAGAAAGACCTACTGTGAGCGACGAGGTTGTCAATCAATGGTATATGCTTTTGTTAAAGCCATCAGCCCACATAATTTCAAAAAAAAATTTTAAATAATGTTTAACGACAGACTTATCTGTGAAAAAAAAATACATTACCCATATTATTGAATTTAACTCAATTTTGTCATTTTCTCTCATTAAAGCCATTAAGTACAAGTCTTGTACCTTTGTCTTTTTGTCTGATTTTCAAAGACATTTTTGCTTCAAATCAAAGTTTGTAACGTTGTGCTTTATTTTGTAGCTGGCTATTTTTAGATAGACTGGTTTAACAAAGGTTTACTTTTTATTACGGACACATTACATTAGAATTTGTTATTCTTTTTTAGATACGTTTATCCCTAAAATATTATTAAAAATGTGTTTATCGTATTTTCCTGATACTACTATATAATTCTAAACAAAGTCAAAGAAAATAATAAATCAGTATTACCCCTGCAGTTATTTTATTAGTAAGCTCAAGGAAGGGTTTTCTCTGTTATGCTGTTTCTGTAAAGAGGAGTCAAAAACAATTATACTTATTTTTCAGTTGTATTCAAGTTTTGTTAACTGTTTTTGAGGATTGTCACAAAACTATACAAATACCTGATTTTATGGATATAGATATTTGTTTAAAAATGTGCTCCATTTAGAAAAATATCACATACATAAAGTAAAATTTAGTCTGTTGTACCAAATATTAGATTGTTTTCCACAGTTTTTATGATTCTCTAATTTCTATAAAGAACAACAGTAAAGCTAAGAAGAAATCTCTGTTTTTGAATAAGACAACTGATGTAATAGTTATATGGTTGAATTTTGTTGCATGATGTACGAGGTAGCCTTATAGTGATGTGTATGTTGTTTAACTTCTCCTCAATGGAACAAAGCAAGTGGCTCGTTTCCGCGTTGAAAAGACAATGCAGCCTTCGCTATTAGCATCCGTCTGCCCTACAAGCACAATACCTCTTTCTTATGGCAGCGCCCAAATCTCCAACAAGATCCCTGTGAGGTCCATTATCAACAGAATTCCAATTCCAAGAGGTCTGGGATCCCCAGTTTGTGAAGCCTTCGTGGTGTTTTGATGTGAGGACCACATACCTGTGCAGAATGACAAACAAAAGCATACATATGTAGAACAAACACAGGAAGCATCACTGCAAACCCATATCTTAAGCACATACTTTGCTCCTGAAGCCTCGAAGATATCAGCCCACTCGTCAGGATCAAAAAACTGCGCGTGGAAATCAGGAGCGAAGTCCGTATAGCTGTATCCAGGCGGGTAGTTTTTGACCATGAACAGGATATATTCAGGTTTTAGTGCGACCTTCCAGTACCACCAGAACCACTCGCTGCCGAACGCAGGCACTGAAAACACCCCCCAATGAACGAAGATCCCGAACTTCACCTCGTCGTACCATTCAGGAAGAGGTCTGGAGTCCAAACTGGCCCAGTCGGGTGTATATCGAGTCCCGAATGATGATGCGTATGATAGTAGACAAAACAACAGCGATATCTGACACCGAGGCACTTGCATGATTGATCACAAGTGAACTTCACAGACGTGCAGTCGGTGAAAAGCAAAAGTCACTCTAAAGCGCGAATGTTAGTAGCCTATGCACTGAAATCACTAAAGCTGGATTTCTGCCGACAACATGTTTGTATTTCCTGGTTTATCATATGCCATTCAACATGTGACTACAACACATGACTTACCTGAAAAACCACTTGTCACAAGGGATGTGGAACCCAATAAATTAAAAGGGTCATATGATGCGATTTCAATTTTTCCTTTCTCTTTGGAGTGTTACAAGCTCTTGGTGCATAAAGAAGATCTGTAAAGTTAAGTAAAAAAGATCTGTAACAAAATAATGTTCTTTTTAGCAGCATCATATGACCCCTTTAAACATTTGCTCGACTATTGGGCTACACTGGTGAAAGAAAATGGTTTTGGTTCTCGTCCGCATTGTTCACTGCCTCTGTAAATGTTTTCTTTTGTAAAAGGGGAAATGGCCGTTTCACTTCAACATTTCAAAACGAAATATTTTTAATTGCCTTTTCTAAAAGACAAAATGGAATAAAAAAGGCATTATGACTT